ATCTGACTTGAAGCAGAATTTTCAAACACACCTGTGGCACACTGCCACACCTCTTCTCTTCATCCCACAGGGTTATCCTTGTGAGCTCCTGGCACTGACAGTGGCTGGGATCCCATCCATGCACATCTGCCTGGATTTCATTCCTGAGCTCATTGCCCAGCCTGAGCTGGAAAAGCAGGTACTGGGAATCACTGTGGGATGCTGGCATGGGGGAGAATAAAGCAGTCACTAAAAACATCCTGTTCTGACTTGCTGGGGTACTCAGGGAATATTTGCAGCACTTTTACATTAAATTAAATCCTGGCATTGAAGGCAACTGGAATTTGTTGGGTTAAAGATTCCCTGTTTCTGTATCAAACCAACTTTGTAGTTTATCTTATTTAATCCTTTCTATTATTAACTTACTGCTGAGGTTAAAACTAGCGTGAGTCAGACCTAAATATCTTCTGCAAGGGTTGTGTTGCACATTGTGTGTTGCTTTACTGCTCATCATTGATGTTGGAGCAATAGTGTCTGGGGGAGATTCTGAAACACTTTGATTAATGTTAAATATGTGTGGGTTATTTTTCTTCATACCAGCAGAATAATAATAATAACTATTGTTAAGGCTTCTTTGGCTTCCATTTCCTTCATGGTGAAAGAGGGAATATTTACTTACTGTTAAATGTGGTGAGGAGCTTTGGTTGGAAGTTGTATAACCTCATTGTTTTTATCTCCTTTGGCAGATCTTTGCCATCCAGCTGCTCTCCTACCTGTGCATCCAGTATGCCCTGCCCAAATCCCTCAGCGTGGCTCGCTTGGCCATCAATGTCATGGGGACCCTGCTCACAGGTACCACCCCAAAATCCACCTCTGGGGGGGCCAGCAGGATTTCTCTGGGCTGAATGCAGTTTTCTCTGTCTAACTCCTATTATAAAAGTAACAGTTCTTGATTGGATTTTATAATAATTTATTTTTACTCCTGCATTTCCTCCTCCTCCCTGGCAGTCCTGACCCAGTCCAAGCGTTACACGTTCTTCATGCCCACCCTGCCCTGCCTGGTGTCCTTCTGCCAGGCCTTTCCTCCCCTCTATGAGGACATCATGTCCCTACTGATCCAGATTGGACAAGTTTGTGCCTCTGATGTTGCCACTCAGACCCGAGACTTCGACCCCATCATCACCCGTAAGTCACGGGCTCAGCACCCCAGAGGGGCCAGGCACAGGGAGATGAGACAGAAATGTGGTGCTGCTGTGATAATTTACTTAATTACTGACTTAATTTACTTCATTATTTACTGAAATGTTGTGGTATTGTGATCATTTACTTGTGGGGAGTTCTGGAAGGAATTTGAGATGGGGCTTTTGAATTGGTTTTGATGGTGTGGTTTATTTTTTTGTCTTTGTTATAGGAAGGGTGAGTTCAGTTTATATCATTATAGTATGGTTCAGAAGGTCACAAGACCTTTAGTTACAAGACTTTTTAAGGAGTTATTGATTAATAAAATATTGTTTATAAGGATATTTATGTTTTTGACTCAGTCTTTAAATATTTAGTCTTACGGACTCAGTGTAAGGTTTTTAGCTAATTATGATATATAAACTTAAGAGTTTATGCATTAAAATGGATATGTATCACATGCATTTTAAACTTGTTTATTTTTGTAACTACTTTTATTTTTTCTATATTTTAAACTTTAAAACTAAACTTTTTTTTACTTAGTTTAACATGGTTTTGCTGTAAACTATAAATTCTTATTCTTGCTTCTAGTACTTAACTTTGGAAGCTTTTTCTAAAGTTTCAGATCAAATCTTGGGTTTAATTCTAAACTTCAGCTTACAAGCCTGAAGTTCTGAGAGTTCTCTGTATTTCACATTTCATGGTGTCTCTGGAAATAACCAGAGCACGGGATGGTGCTGGCTCAGCTTTGCAATCTCCAATTTGTGTTATGGCTGGAAAGAGCAATTCTCAATATTTATCTTATTTTTCCTGCTGCATTTTCCAGGTCTCCAGCAGCTGAAGGAGAAGCCACACGATTTCTCAGGGTTCTGTAAAGATTCCTCCAGCAAAAGCTGCTCCAGGGACTCTGCAAGCCTGGACCCTGATGTTCAGCTGTGCCAGTGTGTGGAGAACACCATCATCGAAATCATCAACATGAGTGTCAGTGGCATTTAGGGAAAAAAGCCCCAGGCAAGTTGTCCTGTAGCTTTTCCCACTCTTTCTGGTGCCTAAATTTGGAAAAAGCTGTGAAAGTGGACTGAGGAGCTGGAGCAAAGTCCACAATTTTCATTCCTTGATTGAGTCACGGCTGAGGAGAAAATCCCTTCAACAGGATTTGGTGAGAACTTCTGAGGCTGAAGGGATCAGGGAATAATTTCCAGGGAAACAGTGATTTTCAGGCTTGCTCAGCTCCTGAAGTGGCACAGCAGCACACCTGGAAGGGTTTTAGAACACTGAAATATTTCTTTTGTTGGGCAAACAGCAAAATGATGGCTGAGAAAAATTGAAATTTGCCTGAGGTAAATGAGCTGCTGCTGCTGCAGGGCCTTGCACAGCAAGCTGGAATAAAGTGCTCCAAGGAATACTTGAAAAAGTGGTGTCAAAAACCTGCACCTTCACACTGAGTTCTCAGAAAATCAGAAAATTTATTTCTGTGTCAAACCATTGCTCAGAGCTTCAGTTCATGAAATCAGGAGCTTCATTTAAAGATCAACCAGGCTTCACTGAGAGATTGAAACTGGTCTGAAAGTTCATTTAAAAGGAAAAAAGTGCTGATAGTAAAGATGAGCCATAGAAACGGGATTTTAAAGAATACAGCTCAGATGATTTTGTAGTTTTTAACTTAAAAAAAAAGAGATGAAAAAGACTTGAGGGAATGAGTGCAGAGCTGTCATCAGAAGATTGAAAAGAGAAATGGGTGCTGAGGGTGGCTGTGCAGAGGGACAGGAGGGACAGGTTTCAGTTGTGCCAAAGCAATTCCAAGGCCAAATCCTTTCTGCTCCCACATGGGGTTTGTTGTTCTTTTGTGTGCAAGGCTGGAATTCCCTCATGGAAATGTGGGAAAGCCCAGTGGGTTTGTGTTCCAGGGTTCCTGCTGTGACACCCCCGTCACCATCTGCCTACTGAGTGTATTTTTGTCATCTTTATGTAAATTATGTAAATAATTGAAATGTATGTATTTTTTTTCGCCTCGGTTCCAAGTGTAATTTTATATCCTGTAGTGGTATTTAAATAAAAAAATCCCAAAAACAACAACAGCAGTATGACTGAAGTTCCAAGGGGTTTTCTGCTTTGCTTTTAAGTTTCCAGGTCCATCCCAAATTTCACCTGAGGGAAACACCTGACAGGAACTGGAGCTGTGTGTGGCAGTAATGAAAAAACACTGATTTTCCAAAAACTATTAATTTTTCCATGGTGCTTTCTGTGCACTCTGCTTAAAAGTATTAATATAATATAATATAATATAATATAATATAATCAAGAATTACAATAAATATGACATTAACAAATACAATAATGATAATAATTAATAATGTAGTATGATAAATAATGATGATACCCAATAATAAAATGCAATGCTTATAAAATATAAAACATAATAAATATAAACAAATTATATAATAATATAATAATAAATATATTATTATTAAGAATAATAATGATAAAGGCCAATAATAAGTATTTATGTGTTTCACAAAAAACGCGGTTGCCTAGCAACCTTTACAACCCGGAAGCCAACGAGCCGCCCTGTGATTGGCTGCCGGTGCGCAGGGGTGAAGGCGGGAGCGCCCCAGTGTGTGCTGTGCTGATTGGCGGCGCGCGGCCCTTTCCTGTCAGCTGATTGGCTGGGGCGCAGGCGGGAAGGACGGAGGCGCTGAGGGGCCGCAGGTGCGGGGCCGTGAGGGGCGCGGGGGAAGCGGCGGCGGCGGCTCCGCCTCGCCGAGCACACGAAGGAAGCGAAGGCCCAGGTACTGCTCTGTGGGCTGGGCTGGGGCGGCCCCACCGCTTCCTGAGCGTTCGGGCGGCAGAGCGGCTCTGCCCGGCTGGAGATGTCCCTGAGGGAGCGCCTGGTGGCTCTGCTCACACCACGGAGGGGCCCTGCGGTGTCCCGGGCCCTCCCTCCCCCTCAGGGCCCACCGAGTTCGGAGCTGGGCTCGTTTAGCGAGTTCCCCTCCCAGAATGGGTTGGGAAAAGCCTTGGGGCGAGGTGGCCTTTCCCTCTGGAACGAGGGGTAGGATGTAAACTCATGTCAGCGTCGTCTTTGGCTAGAATTGCTTTTTCCTATTGAGGAGCTCGATGGTGAAACAAAATCGTGCCATGAATTGGTGCTTTTTTGATGTATATGTTTAATTATTAAAAGCCGGATGAGTTAATTTATCCCAGAGAATCTGCCAGTTTAAAGTTGCTGTCTTCATCAGTGTTGAAAAAATATGAGGAAAAAAACCCCTGTATTGTTCAAAAATATTGTATCTTAAAGCCATTTGTGCCTCTTCAATATTTTTAGTTCAGTAATTTCACCTTTTTAATACAGGGAAATTGTCTGTCTTTATCATTCCAAGATATTCAGGTAATAACCATGGAATAACCATGGAATAGTTATTCCATGGTTATTACCTGAATATCTTGGAATGATAAATAACCATGGAATAGTAAATTGAGGGATACTCCTTTTCCCCTGGCTAATTACTGCATTATTTGTGGAAGGAGGATGTTTTTAAGCATCTCATTTTTAAAGTCATTGTCCAGTTTTATTTTTCATTGTTATAAAATGTACAAGCTGCTTTATGTTTGTAGTTTATGACATCTTTCAGTTCAAGCTGATGGACCTCTAGAGTTAAAAACTGGCTGGTTTTAGACATTTAATATTCTAAAATACTTTTCCTGCATGGATTTGGGTTCTATCTCCAGTCTAACAGAATCTGAACTGGTGTGTGCAGCTCACGTTGTTTTTATTTATTTATAGTTTGCTAGCATTGAGTCACTAATGCTGTATTTGAATTGCAGTGTGAAAGCTGCAGGAGGAAAGCTGGCCATGCCTTCTGAGGGGGCACAATACACCATTGGGGGGGTGAAGATCCTGTTCCCCTGCAAGGCTTACCCCTCCCAGCTGGCCATGATGAACGCTGTGAGTACCCTTTGTCCTGCCATTTGCCACACTCAGAGCTTGTGCTTGCCAGTATTTGGAGTTCCAGAATCTCTGCCAGCGTTCAGAAAGGTGACACATTAAATTCAGAGCTTGTGGTATCTTGAAGTTCAGTGGTAACCACTCAGTGCTCTCTGTGCTGGGCAGTGTCTGGGAGTGGTGAAGTACATTTTGGATTTGGGAGCGTTTATGCCCAGAAACAGTTCCTTGTGCTGTAAGGGTGTTTATGATTATCCAGCTATGCTGTAATTACAGTTATATACAAATGTTCAGGTTTATAGGGTGGGGAATGATTTAGTAAGCCCCGTTATCTAAACAGAAGAATTATGTACAGTAATATTTCAAGAAGTTTCTATTTTTTAGGGGCACTTTTCTAAATGAATTGTTGCATTTATATTTAAACATTTTTTAAGAGTTTTCACCAGTGACAGGACAAGAGGGCACAGCCTTAGGATGTGCCAGGGAAAGTTTAGGCTGGACATTAGGCCATTATTGCTAAGATTAGCTAAACACATCTGCTTTGTTTTCTGTTAATTCTGTTTCTTTTCTTCCCCCTGAAGATTGTGAAAGGCTTGAATAACAGGCAGCACTGTTTGCTGGAGAGCCCCACAGGAAGTGGCAAAAGCTTGGCATTACTTTGTTCTGCATTATCATGGCAGCAGGCTTTGTATGGTGAGTGGCAGAGTGTCTGCACAGCTTTTGTTACAAAATATAAAATAATTATTGGCTTTCATCAGCCCTTAAACATTTGGTTTCAGTCTGCGCCCACCACTGGCACCTTGCCCTAATGGCAGTGTGGAGCAGGAATGCTGGGCTGGGCTTAGGTCCCAGAAGGGAATGGAGGAAAATCCTCGTGGGTTGTGTGGATTGATGGGAGGAGGGAGGTGTTTCATTCCTGTGCCCTGCAGCTCTGCAGAGGTGACCACAGCTGGTTCAGCTTGACTGGCACTGAGCTGCCATCCTCATGGTGCTGTTAGTGACAGATAAATGACTTTGTCCCCCAGAGAAGTCAGTGCCAAGCTCGTCGTGTGACAAGGAGGACAGGAAGGCAGCGCCATCCCCACCCTGTCACTGCAGGTGTCACTCCCAGGCCAGGAGCAGCGAGGCTGCAGCGAGTGGGACTCCCAGTGCTCCTTGTTCTGCCAGTTATCCTGAGCCAGGAACTTCCAGGAGACCTGGGAGCCCTCTGCCAAGCACAGGTAACCTCATCTGTAGGCAGCTCCAATTCTGCTGCTTTAGGCCAGGGATGGTTTTTGACCATCATAGTGGCAGCCCTGGTTCTGCCCTGCATGAAATCTGTATACAGTGCTTAATCTGTCTAGAAATTAACACTGTTTCCTGCACCATATAATTTATAGCACTTCTAGCAGTTACTGTTCTGTAGTAGTTACATTTTAAAATGTTGCCCTTATTTATTGCATCCCTAGTAATGGACATCCATTCTATTTTGTTAATTACAGAATGTAAGGAAAGTGAAACACTGGCTTCAAAGCTGTCTGCCAAAAAGAAATTATCCCTTCATGCCAGTGAGAATGATGATTTCCAGGTGGACAGGAAGAGGATTCGTCCTTTAGAGACAGAGCAGCAGGTGAGCAGTGAAATCAGCTGGGTGCAGCTCAGGCAAACCCTCAAATCCAGTTAATGTTATAGGGGAGGGTGTGGGAAATGAGTGAATCACATCACAGTCACAGTTTAGTGACAGGGCTTTGTTCATTTTTATTGGTTCTTGTTACAAAGGAGTCCATTGTTGCACTAAATTGCTCATTGTACCCTGTCCTAAAACCTTTCACATTTATATCCCCAAATACATTTATTCCCAGTTGATGGTGTTGTGATTTCTGTAGGTTTGGAACAGTGGGAAAGCAAAGCAGAAAAGTTCAGCAATAACTACAGATTCTTTTATAATTAAAACTTGATAGCTTTCCTCAATGACTTGTGTGGCTGACTTGGTTAAGCTGTTGATGGCCAGTTACTAAAGCAGACTCAGCTGGAACAGGAGCAGGGCTGCCAGTGTGAGCACATCCCTGTGCCCTGGGCATTTCCCCACTGGTGCTTTCCCCAGCAGGTGAGGAAACGTCACTGCCTTGCTAAAGGAGTGCAGCTGGTTGATGCTCTGGAGGTTTATCATCAGAGGAAAAATGGAGAGCTGATTGTTCACTCTGAAAAAAACATGAAAACCACTACTTGTTCTCCCCAAACAGTGAGTAATTCAGAAATATCTTTTACACCAGGAGTGTTAGTTCAAGAACAATTTAAAACAATGTTTTATGTGAAGGGGCTATTCATGAAAAGCAGCTTAATGAAGTTTGAGCAAACACTGCAGCTAATGCAAAGGTTCCTCAGTGTTTTGGTTTTTATTTCCACTTTCTGTAGCAGAAGTATCACATAAGAAGTTAAGTTACATGTTGCACCTGTTTCTGCAGCTTTGTTGGGCAATTCTCTGCATTTCTTACTGTTTGAAAATAGATTTTACATAAATGTTTGTTGGGGCAAAAGCAGTAGAAGAGGGAGTGTGAGGCAGTAGAGGGCTGGGTGTGAGAGGCCAGGGTGTGATGTAGCAACCCCAAAGGAAACCAAAAGCTACAGGATTACTGTAAGATACTGGGAGCTAAATATTTTCCTTAAAAAGTGAGTCTGTGTTGTAGGCCATTTGATGGGAGGTAGTTTTTATTAGTTTTGGAGAGCTCTGTAGATGTTTGAGTAAGATTTGAAATGCTCTGTGCCACTGAGCTTCAGCTGGCAGTTGGAAATCCAAAGGCCACCAGAGTGTGCTGTTCATTTTCAAATAAAAAGAGCTCTTGTCCTTCCTGATTGTAAAATTTCCTTTTGTACTTTGGTGTGGGCACATGAAAAATTTGATTTAAAACTTGTAGAAATTGTAGAAATTTCTTGTCTAGCAGAAAATTGAAAACGAAACAATCTGCTGTTTGCTGTATCTTTAGAAAGAAGTAACCTAAGAAGAAAAAAAGGGGGTAATTTCTATTTAAGTTTCTTTTAAAGGATGACAGAATAAGGTGTTATTTTGCTGTGATGAGCTTTTCCTTTAGCAGACTGAGAACTTGTCTGGTATCAAGAAATTGCAGAAAGTAAAGGCTGATTTGTCATTAGTAGTTGTGAGCCTTAACTGCATTTAGTTTACAACAGGAAGAGCATCAGAGCACAGGTATTGGGTATAAAAATGCTTTTCTGGTGTGGCTTAGGGAATGAAATCAGCAGAGCTCCTGTTGAACACTCACCTGAGGGACTGTGTGTTTGGGGTGATACAATAATTGATAACAGCATTATCTTGTTCACTGAGGCAAGCTGCCTTTGAGTATCCTGTGTTTTACAGTGCTCACTCCTCTGCCTAAAGCAGATTCAGTTTCTTACCAAGTCCTGTTTATGCTGCAGGAGGGAGAATGGGTTGGTGGTTGTAAGGGCATGAGAGGTGCTCTGTGCTCCCAGCCCTGCTGCATCCAGCACCTGCAGATGTGGCTGAGCACCCAGAGCTGCTCCCAGCCCTGCTGCATCCAGTACCTGCACATGTGGCTGAGCACCCAGAGCTGCTCCCAGCCCTGCTGCATCCAGCACCTGCAGATGTGGCTGAGCACCCAGAGCTGCTCCCAGCCCTGCTGCATCCAGTACCTGCACATGTGGCTGAGCACCCAGAGCTGCTCCCAGCCCTGCTGCATCCAGTACCTGCACATGTGGCTGAGCACCCAGAGCTGCTCCCAGCTGATCTCACTCCCAGCCTGGGAATCCAGCTCTGGATTAACTCCTGCAAGGGAGGGCAGCTCCAGTGTGAGTTTAAAGGGGAAATTGTAACCTCAGGTACTCTCTTGATTGCTTCTGTCAGAGCATATGGCCTGAGAAACTGGGGCAGCTGGGTTAAGGAATCCCCATTTGCAGCAGGGAAAGAAAGTAAACAGTAAATGGAGAGTAGTGTAACAAACACTTGGGGTATCAAAAAACAACTGTGAAAAGAATCTGTCTTAATGTGCTAGCCCATTGCAGTTTAACATATTGCTTACAACCTGCACAATGGGCTTTGGGTGACTTCTGTTACACATTCCAGGGGACTGGCAGCCTGTTACAATCAGGGTCTGGACTGCAGAATGGGCTAATTTACCACGATGGGATGAAGAAAGTTGTGGATTTGTATTACATGCTCTCACCTGACACCGTACCTGATCCTTTTCCTGCTGATTGACGTTTTCAATGAGCTCTTTGAAGCAAGTTCCAGCTTAATTAAAACGTTTGCTTGGTTAGCAGTGATCTGTGAAAGCCTGTGATAAATATTGAACTGGGTTCACCTGCTGGTGACTGGGGAGGATAAACAGCTGCTTTGTGTGCTTTAAACAAGAGGCTGCAGCAGCAGCAGAATACTTGGCTTTCTGAGAGCTTCCAAAGGAGCAGCTGAAAAGCTCTGCTAATGTCACTGCTGATATCTGCCTAGATTGTGCTTGTGTGATATTTCACACAAGAGACATTCACTGCTGCAGCATTCAGGTGCCTTTGTAAGTGGGAAATGTAGCTGGAGATATGAAGAACTCCTCTTACCTCTTTGTGTTTCAAAGATCACAGCCCCAGTGTTTGTTTAGCTCTATTTTACACACAGTACAGGCTGCTGGACTCGATTATTCCTTTTTTAATCGGACTTCCACGTTTTTGCCATATAAATATTGATGTGATAGGCTGGTTTATCTAGCCCTGACAGAAGTCCAAACAAGCTGCATTAGCCTAAGGTCCATATAGGCTGATATCTGATCTCTAATGGCATCTGTTCCTGGGTGTTTCTGATTAAATACTGCACAAAGTACAGCAGGATCTTTTTTTTGCCCTCTCCCAAATGAAAATCCCTCTTTCAGATTCCAACAGCTGAAAACAGGTTTAGTTCTGAAGCCAGAGGGTATTATGAAATACAATTCTGTTGTCTCTAATCAGCTCTCCCCTAATTCCTTCATAGATAAATTGAAACATTTTCTAATTTTGTTATATCCTAACTGTGGTATACTCTGTGGTATGAGTGTAAAAATTTGTGCTTGGAGAGAACACTGCCCAGGAAACCCCTTGTTCATGGAGAGTTTTCTTTCTTTGTGCTGCAGGAATGGGAGAGGAACACCACATTGGGTGTTGCTGTAAGATATCCACAGTTGGTTCTTGGAGAAATACAGAGTTAAAATAGTTTGCCTTTTATAAAATTTAAAGATATATTTTAAGGATTCTAATGCAAGTTGACTCACTGGAGTAATATGGAAAGAATATGGGGAACTCAACTGTTAAACTGTGTTTTAACCAATTTTCTAAAGTTTTTCTTCATTATGAAGGTCCTCCTAAAAAGGTTTTATTTATTAAAGTATTTGGGCTAATGGTGGCTGTGGCTTTCAGAAATGCTCTGACTACTGCAGGCACTTTTATTTCTTAACTACTCACTATAAAATCAGCCTGAGTTTACAACTTGCTCAGTATTGTGGGTTTGTGTGTTTTTTGAACATAAAACTTTTTTCAAAGTTAAAGGTAACATTTTAGTACTGGAATAATGGCTAAAGTGCTTCTTAATGCCAGTATTATACCAATCCCAAACCTCTTAAACCAAACTTTTAATCCCACCTGTAAAATCCTGTAATTTATAAGCCTCACACATAAGAACACTTTATTTCGTTTTTATGCAAAGAATAATATCTGGTATTTTAAGCCCATCATAGAACCTTCTGGTCATGATTTTATATATTAATTTGAGCTGCATTTTCCTGTTGTTCTAAGAACTCTGGCAAAACAGCTGCCTGATGGGACCTAATATTGTTCAATTATTTTTATTTGGCTTAGCACAGCAGTGAAATATTGGTGGTCAAGTCTCATCTTGGTGTCCTGTGTGTTGTTTTTCCCTCTGAAAACACAATCTGACTTGGATTAAAATTAAAAGATAGAAATATTCTTCAAGGCCCTACACAGTCACTGCTTCAGTTAAATTAATTTTTAGCTTGGTAACGTGGTTTTCATTATTTCCAGGAGCAGAGCAGAATGTAAGTGATAGAAATATCAAGGTAGCACTGGGGCTTTGGTGTGAGCCCTGCACATATGTAACCTATACCATGTGTCAGCTGTTTGCTGCCTGCCTGCTGACAAGAGCCCCATTCATAACTCCTCTTTTTATCCTGGCAGTGAATAAGTAATGATTCAATATAGAAGGCAGGATATTTGGGACTGGCTATTTCATGTGGCAGCACAGGGTAATGAAATCTGCCGGTCCTGGCAACCTGAGAGGGGAATGTAACAATTCCAGCATGGCTGTAACTTTATCTGCTCTGAGGCCTGTTTGTTTGGCACGTCAGGGAAGCTTTTATCCCAGTGAGTGGCAGCTCTGAGGGTTACATTTACATGCTTTCTATCATGTATTGTCATATTTAATGGCACACAGGGCTGGCTGGGGCTGAGGGGAGCACGAATTTGCTTTTCCTTGCAGTGAGAGCTGGAGACAGCTTGATCCCCAGGATTGTGGTGTAACAGACAGCATGATTTAGCATTTGTTTGTCATGGATAATCTTACTGGTGCAATGAAAGGCAGGGAGGAGTGCTGCAGTGAGCATGTTGTTACCTGCACTGCCACCTGAGCCCAGTACAAACTGTCTGGCTCTGGGAGAACTCTCTATTTTCCATGAGAGGTGTGTTTGGACATGGTTACACTGGAGTTCCTTGTTTCCTGTGTGGCTCTTCAAATTCATTGTGACAATTTCATGTCAGTTGTTCCAGTATTTAATGTTCTGATGGCAGAACAAAAATGGCTTTTCACAAATATTTTACAGGATTAGGTTCTGTTTAGAATTATTCCCTGTGTTTCCTTTATTCCCCTGGTTACTCAATGGCCTTTGGCAGAATGGCACAGCAAACATGTTTCTAATGGAGAGTGTGTGGTGCAGTGTTTCATCTGCACACAGAGTCCCTGAACTGTCTTTAAGGAAAAAAAAAAAAATTAATTTGAATGTCTGTTCCAGGTTTTCTTCATTGAAGGTTTTGGACTCTTGCTCTGTAACAGGAGTGTCCTGAGCTTCAATATGAGAAGCTTCATTTGCATTATTCATGTCTGTAAATATTCCACTGGATTAATAATTCTTTCTGATTGGGTTATGATAAAATTGTGATCACTGGAAGTTTTTTTTAGAAATTTCCAGGCACAAGGATGTGATGCTTTAACATTGTAGAACTTGTTGCAGCTTGATGGGCAGCCCTGGTGACTGAAGCAGTTACCCCAGAGGGCTCTTTGCAGACCATCAGCAGATTTAGCACATTCATCTCACAGTGGGATTTTGTGCATCATCTTTTTGTCTTGCTCTGCAGCCTCCTGGCCCTTGCACTGAGTGTTCCTGTGCTTCTGGGAAGGAACCAGGTAAAGATCCCAGTCACACAAAGAAGAAAGAGAACGGAGATCGGTTGTGCGTTCCCAAAATTTTTTTTGGGACACGAACACACAAGCAAATCAGCCAGATCAGCAGGGAGCTGAAGAGGACAGCCTATTCCTGTGTGCCCATGACAATCCTGTCCAGCAGGGATTACACCTGCATTCATCCTGTGGTGTCCAACAGTGGCAACAGGAGTGAAATGTGTGTAGAGTTGCTGGAAGGAAAACATGTGAGTAATTTGATTTGAGAAAATGAGCATTCATGAAACAAAGTCAGATTTAACAGCTGGAATGAGTAATATTTTTTACTTCTTTATATTATATTGGTTAAATACCTCCTGGTGGCATTAAAATTAAATATTAATTGTTAGAAAATGTTGATACACTGTAAAAACTTATGGTGGTAGGGATAAGATTTATGACTGCCAGGTTAATGGTGTAATAAGATTTAAATTATATCTGGGTTTATAAATGAAGAAGAAAGAAGTGTCCTTTATTGATGTACATTTAGAAACATGGATTTACATGACATGAGCTGTTAATGTCTGGCATAAAGAGCAGCTGTTAGAAATGTTTCTGAGAAACCACCAAATGCATGGAACTTTGGGAGATTTAGCCTGTTTGATTTTTGTTATTTCTTGTACCCACTAAGTCTGTGCCCTTGTTTGCTTTCAGGGCAAGTCCTGCTCTTATTACCACGGTGTTCACAAGCTGAGTGAGCAGCCTGCCCTGCAGCCTGCCCATGGGCTGTACCAGGCCTGGGACATTGAGGACCTGGTGAGGCTGGGCAGGAAGCTTCGTGCCTGCCCCTACTTTGCAGCCAGGGAGCTGATGGTGGGGGCAGACATCGTGTTCTGTCCCTACAACTATCTGCTGGACCCACAGATCCGGGACAGTGTGAGTACACTGGGGACGAGTGGCAAGAAGGTAAAAAGAAGAATTTAAAAGGAATTATCCACTGAATGTTTTGTTTCTGTGGTCAGCTGAGATCCCATTCATGTCCAAAATACTGTCTATAAAATAACTCCTGGGGATTTTTTCCCTTGGATATTTTCTAGCTTATGAAAATTGATCCAAAACCTGAAAAGCTTCATTTGCACTGCGCTGCAGAATATCCATTTTTTAACAGGCTCCTATTAGTTGCTGTTTCTCATGTCTTTCACTCTGTTTCACCAGACAATAATTATCTTTTTTAGATGGACATTAACCTAAAAGACCAAGTAGTCATTTTGGATGAAGCCCACAACATTGAGGACTGTGCTCGGGAGTCCGTGAGCTACGGGGTCACCGAGAGCCAGCTGCGCGCTGCCCGCGAGGAGCTCGACTTCATGGTCAGCAACAGCATCAGGCAGAAGCACCACGAGCCCCTCCGAGCTGTCTGCTGCTCCTTGATCAAGTAAGGCAACCTTTTATTGCTTTCTATCAATTAATATTTAGCAAATTACCTTTAGATCTGATGGTATAAGTTACTCTGTCACATCAGATAAAATGCAGCAAAGGTACACTTACAACTGTGCTGTTGATTGATTTATGTTCATTTGAGGACTCCACAGGGTTTGATTTATTAAAAAAATTACTGGTCTCACATGGAAACATTGAAATTCTCTTTTGAAAAGTCCTGTGCTCTTTATGGGGCTTTTTTGGACTCCTGTTTATAAATCTCAGTATGAAAATTTTCATAAGAAGAATTTTTGTATTTCACACCTTTGTTTGCTTATTTGACAAATAATAATAGCATTATTTTGTCAAAGAATTAATGAGTTAATGTTTATAGAATGCTTTCAGAGCCTTGGACAGAAAATATTTGGAATCTGTTCTTGGAATCAGATTGGAATCAACTGAATTCTTCCTAGTGGAAAGTGAATTTGTCAGTCATGCCCTTTGTTTTCCCTGGGAAACAACTTCCTGGAAGGGGAAGAGCTGAGCAGAAGTTGAAAATCCTGAGAGGGGATGTAACAAAAGCAAATGGACAGAAGCCCAGGAGGAAACAAGAGGTCCAGGGCAAAGTCTTTTGAGTGAAGTAGAGTTATCAAAGTCAGCAGAAAAAAGTGAATAAGCTACAAGTGCTTTGCAGTTAACTGAGCTCTGCTCCAGTGTGTGCAGAATCTTCATTTTGCTGCAGCAGCACGGGAGGAGTTCACTCTCCCATCCTCACTCCCTGCTCACAGTTGATGTTTGTGTCACACAGAGACAAGGGACTTTTCTGCTTGGCAGAAGCCAGTTCTGCTACCTTGGGTATTTCAAATGTTAAACTTCAGTAAAAGATAAGAACAGCATGGCTGAAGATTTGATTGCCTCAAGCTTTTTAACCTTATCAGGAAAACTGAGGTTGATTGTCTTGGCAAATCTGCCAGCAGCATGAAAAGCAGCTGCTGGAAAGCAGAGGACTGGGTGTAAATAGGCAGTAACAGGTAAAATGCACCTGCACAGTGCCATGGCTTTGCCAAATGCATGGGGAGCTAGAAAAAAAAAAATAATCTTATTTCACTTGTAAAGATCCTGGGCCCTCATTCCAAAAAGCACTTAAGGATGGGCTTGGTGCCACAGTGCTGCAGTGAGCTCTGGGAGGAGTTTGCAGCTGGGCCAGGGGAGGCTCTGCTGCACATTGAGCAGGGCTGCTCACTGTGGGCAATGGAACATGCTGTGTCAACACGGGCATTTTTTGGTACTGAGGGAAGCGGCAAATACTCTTCCTGGAATTGAAGGCATGTGTGCAACATCCATTCATTCCTTTCCTGGAAATACTGCATACAGCAATTTTCACTTCAAAAGCAGAGAGAATCTTTCTGGGAATCAAGCTAATTTTATTTATGCTTCCTGCTTGGCTCTAAAAATAATTTAACAGGCTTTGCAAGTAAATGCTTTAATGTTAGATGGAATTTATTTGAGAATTTAAGGAATTTTTGGTGCTGTTTGGCCATTGTGTTAAGTTTGTATTTGTATTTATTATTTCAAAAGTATGTGATGGTGTTTGAAGTTCATAACAGGGAAACATTTTACATTTCCTGAAGTGTTCTACACATTGAAATCTGTTTAGTTCCTGTCACAGGGGCCTTGTCCTGATTTCAATTCCAGGTCTTTTTGATGTTACATTTGAGGAACTGGGGCCTTAGTCTTAGTGATCACCATTCCTTAATGAGATAAAGCAAATTTTAGCCAAGGAAGTGATTGTTGTGGCAGCATTGGTGGGCTTTGTTTGCATTTAACCTGGCAGAAGGGAAGTTATATTTTAATTGTTCCGTGGATCAGATTATTTATGGTGACAGGGCAGGAAATGTAGAACTGAAGCAGTCCCAGAGCCTTGCTCTTGAGTTGCTAATGATGAACTGGTTTTGCAGGTAAATATTTTGAGCTCTTGCAGCACTGACAGCTGTCCTTTCAATGCCTCCTGCCTCTTGATGGAGCAGACAGCTCCAGCCTTTCCTGGGAGAGAGGGAGGGAGCTGCTTTTCTAACCATGGACAGGGCCTGTGGTGCTGCAGGGGTGAAGGAGGACAGGCTCACTCAGAAAATTCCAGCTCTGCCACAAACGAGATGCTCTCCATGTTTAGCTCAATCAATCCCATTTTGCATTATATTACAATTATAATTCTGCTTCATTTTGCAGCAGTGCCAGTACCTGGGGTAGGTGTAAATGGGCACTCTCTATTGCCCCAGTTTCATTCCCTGTGTAAATATGAAAAGTGCTCATTTCATGCCTCAGGATTGGTTCTTAATTGGAAAGTCAGCAGTTGACAGGGATAAACCAACCTGCAGCAATTGGAGCAGTGATGAGTGGATTCAGATATGCAGCAGAAGTCTTGCTTGAATGAGGCTGACATGTCAGAAGAGGAAATTACATTTTAATTCCTTTTCTTTATTATCTATTATATGAAGTATAAACATGTGGGGAGAAATTTCCTTCTCATTTCAATGAGCTGCATCCAAAACAGTTCCATGGGAGTTGAAGAGTGAAAAACAGGCAGAAAGGAAAAGCAGAATCTCTCTCCTTACATGTAGCAAAACATTTATCATCATCTTAGGAGTCTGGTGCAATGTTTGAGGTTTGCTTTGTACGTGCAAAGTGTCTCTAAATCTCTCAAATCAATGCTGAAATGATTTGTGCTTCTTCTGTCTTTCAGCTGGCTGCAGGAGAGCTCTGGGCAGCTGGTGGAGAGAGCCTTTGAAAGTGCCTGTAAGGTGTGGAGTGGCAAAGAAATGCTCAACTTTCTGTACCAAATGGGAATAACTGGCATTACTTTCCCCATTTTACAGGTAATGTTGTGTGCTGTATAAATGAGCAGCACCATCCATAATATTGTGGTGTTAAACATCTCCAAATGCACAGAAGTTAAATGGAAACAGGTTTTTCATTTACTGCAATACTGAAAATTGTCTGAAAAGGATTCCTGATGAAAACCAGGAGTAACCCACTCGAGCTACTGGAATTAGTGGAGAAGCAATGTTTTGAAGGATACAATTGCTCACATACAGTTATTTAAATTGAACCATTGAGCCAGTGATATTTTTGCCTCTTCTATCCAACTGCATTTTTATTGAATGTTGAAATGTTTTTATCCTATTTTCAAGTTTATCCCTCCTTTCTGTGTAAGCCAGTTATGTTAAAACCATTGTTAAAAATTGAAAGTGTTGTTCCCTTTCCCTCTGACTTTATTTTAAATGAACTTTTAAAGCAGTGAGCTGACAGTCTTGTATCTCTATTAACTTTGGTTTTGAGGAGACACTTAAAATGTTGTTAATATGGAATTTGCCTCTTGCAGAAACATCTTGCTGCTGTCCTGGAAAAAGAAGAAAAAGTTTCTATGCATGGGAGAGAGGAAATTATTGAGGTGCCAGTTGTGAGCCCTGCAGCACAGATCATGCTCAAAGGCCTGTTCATGGTCCTTTCCTGTCTCTTCAAAGAGAACAGCAGGTCAGGTCTAACATTTATCAGCTGAATGCTCACAATTTGATGGCTTTATTGTAGTTTTTACTGATATTTCTGTCTCTGTGTAGGTTTGCAGATGATTACAGGGTTGCTCTACAACAAACTTACACCTGGATGACTGAAGACCAACGTGATGATGCAGATAAAAGTTCCTTCTTCCCAAGGCCCAAGCACAAAAAGAGTTCAAGGCAGAAAACCCTTGTCCACATGCTGAACTTCTGGTGCTTGAACCCTGCTGTGGTGAGCTGAGTGTGAAGAAAAGATAAAATAATCTGAGTGATAACAAATACACGTCAGATCTGAAAGGGATTGCATTGATCTTCTAAATTCCTGCTTTTCTTTCTCCCACCTAGGCTTTTTCTGACTTAAATGAAGTCAGAACAATTGTTCTGACATCAGGCACTCTCTCTCCCATGGATTCCTTTTCCTCAGAGCTTGGTGTGAAGTTTTCCATTCAGCTGGAGGCCAATCACGTTATCCGGAATTCCCAGGTAAGCTGGCCAGGGCTGTTCCCATCTACTGCTGCCCATGGTGCAAAAACCAAATAAAAGTGATGGCAAACCCATTCTGCCAGTTAAAAGAGAGGTCCAGACTGTTGCTTGGCTTAATGCAATGGAAAATGACATTTTTAAATGAATTAAGAGGCAATTTTAGACACATTTCCCTGGAAAAGTTGCTCATGCTCTATGAGATGGCTGTTAGCAATATCAATTACTGTGCTTCAAGTACCAAAATGAATTTAACAAATATCTCAACATTTCTTTCTCACTTAAAATGTCAATATTGAGCCTGCTGAGCTTTCTCCAGGCTGGTTTGGGATTAACCCTGTCCTTGTGCCCCCAGGTGTGGGTTGGCACGGTGGGCACCGGCCCCAGCGGGCGGGAGCTCTGTGCCACCTTCCAGCACATTTTTTCACATTTAAAATGTCATTATTGATCCTGCTGAGCTTTCTCCAGGCTGGTTTGGGATTAACCTTGTCCCTGTGCCCCCAGGTGTGGGTTGGCACGGTGGGCACCGGCCCCAGCGGGCGGGAGCTCTGTGCCACCTTCCAGCACATTTCTCTCACGCTTAGCAGGATCAATAATGAAATGTTGAGGTTTCTCCAGGCTGGCTCAGATTTAACCTTGTCCCTGTGCCCCCAGGTGTGGGTTGGCACAGTGGGCACCGGCCCCAGCGGGCGGGAGCTCTGTGCCACCTTCCAGCACACCGAAACCTTCGAGTTCCAGGATGAGGTGGGAGCCCTGCTGCTGTCGGTCTGTCAGACACTTGGCCAAGGAATTTTGTGCTTTTTGCCATCCTATAAGGTAAGGAAATGTGAATTGCTCTTCTTCCCCTCAAACCACACACACTTTGAAAATGCACTGTGTGATTTTCTGCGCTGTGGTTTATACATCAATATACAGAAATATTTATCAAATAAATGTATTAACACAGGGGGATTGTATTGTTATTTCTTGGCATTCAGGTTTGTTTTCATGAGCAAACATATTTGGTTTTTCTCAACAGATGCACCTATTAACACAGTCAATCATTTCAATTAGCATTACCATAAAACCAGCCAGATCCATACATTTTCCTTGTGTTGTTTCCCTGAAGATTTAGAAATCGTTTATTAAGAAAAAAATTAAAAATCACATCATGAAATGATACTTTCTATATAAATCAGCAGCAGGAATGTCTTTGCATGTTCTTTCTGTGCTACCAGAATGCAGAATTCATCCAGGTAATTTCTCCTTCCTTGTTTCTTGTTCCATTTCACTGCATTGGAGATTGAAGTGTATTTTTCTTTAGCCAGGGGAATTGCTCACTGACATTGGCTGAAAGGAATCAAATTTCTCCATTTCAAACTATGTAATATCTAATTTCACTGACAACAGTTATCTAATTATGGTTAATCTGGATCTCCCAGTAGTTCTGCTTTCTTCTCTATTTGTTGTTCCTGTTGTTTATGGTCAGGAACAGGAATATAAACTTGCAAGATAATTATGTAACTCATACTCATTTTTCCTGTACTGCTTGAAAGGGTGTAACTTTTTAATTTTTAAATGATTATTTATGATTTTAAAAAAATCATCTTAACAGACAAAACACAAAGACCTCTAAAAAAATCCTACCAAATGATTAAAAACACCAGCATATTGGATATAGAATTTCAGACATTACTGCTCATCCCTAAGGTTCCTAAGCAGAGAATATTTTCCAAAATGAAATAAAAGCTATTTATTCTTTTTTTACAATCCCTTCATCTTTTATCATTTAACTGGCAGGCTGCAGAGGGGGGGTTGTGTCTTGCCTGGATGTCTTTTAAGTGCAATTCCTGCCAGTAACCATTAGGTGACCACATCAGACCAGGTAATGGAAGCCCCTGAAAAAAGCAGATTACTGACCATAAATTTATTTAACCTCACAAAACCCTGCACTTCCATGCAAAGGAAATGATCTTACAAGAAATCTCCAATTTATTTAAGAATTTAACTGGAGCATCTTTCAGTTTCCAGCATTGTCTTTCCAAGTGTGTCATGTTGGAGGGTTGATCTTCCATCTCCAGACCTGACAAATATTTATGAAAGTTTTTATGAGAATAGTAATGTGAATTGCAAGTACACAGAGACTTTGTAATGACATTTAATAAAGGAGGAAAACAATTGCTGGCCAGCTCTGGAGCCTTCCCCCCCTGCCCTTCTGGCTCCCTGAAAGGTCACCCTGCACACACTGAGTGTTCTGTTCTTTGGAGCAGCACTCCCTGAGCCCAGCAAGGTATTGATAAATAGAAATTGCAGACAATTGAAGGATGATATTTTAAAATCACATTGCCAATATTTTTCTATGGGTGCCCTTTTTCTTCCTACTGCTTTTATTTGGGATTGGGTTGCCTTTAAGGCTGAGATTAATATGTTGGAAATACAGAATAATGTAAGCACATTAATACAGGGAAAACAAAGTATTCTTTCTTTCATCATCATAAAGAATATTTGCATTTCAAAAGTGATTTTCACAGGAAATTGCTGCCTCTCTTTAGAAAGCTGCAGCCTTCAAAGGAATTTTTCAAGGCTGTCAAGATCTGATTAATCCACATGGTCATGGACCTCACTATTATGATTTAAGCAGATTTTTTGATGGCTCAATCTGTTTTATGAATTGAGGCTTCAAATTTTGAGTAAGTGACAAATAAAGGTTTTTTTTTTTTCCTGTCTGGAAGGTTGAGGACAATGCTTTGAATTTTAAGTACTTTCTATCCAGGTAATTTGATGGAGCTGGAATTTAGTTTGGTGTGTACATTGGATTTCAGTTTGGAGTTACTACCTGCAATGTGAATGCGGAAAAAAAACAATAGTAGGGAAATTTCCCTTTATCTTAATCAGGTATTTGAATAAATATATTTTTAATTGAAGAGTGACTGTTTAAAATATATGTATAGCAAATATATGGAATTAATACAGTGGAGGAAAATCTATGGATGGGCAAAGAGCCATCAGCTGTACATGCCCACATTTGATAAGTGTCTGCTATGAAAAGCTGTGATGGTTCTTGTGGGGAAATTCACAAACAACATGGAAATTTTTAATGTCATTGTTGGAGTTGTGGCACTTTGACTTTTTAAAAAATCAGCTTGATCTCAACATTCACTAAATTCCAAAGCTCCATCATTTTTAAGGCTCCTAAAACTGGTGATACTATGCAGCAAAAATGCATTTATGTGAAAATCAGTAGCAACTCCAGCAAAAAACCACTCTATAAAAGAGAATATCAGAAGGTGAAAAGATTGCCCAGAAATCTAAGATGCTTTTAAACAAGATTAAGATAAAGCCCATTAGGGCTCATGTTGCCAACCTGTCTGCATTAAGATATATCTTGCCTGGTGCCTGCATCTTGGATGATTCATTCAATATGTGTCATATCAAAGTCAGCCTTGCCAGCAAGGAGAAAAATGCTAATGCTTATAAATTTTAGTGCTAATCCATCATGATGAATTAACTGACCTTTCTTAGTGGGGTTTTTTTAAGCAGAAGAAGCTTTGGACAATGATGTTAATGTTGCTTTGGTTTGTTGTGTTCTCTGAGGCATTGTTGGTTAATTTGGATCTGCTAATTGAGGAGGCATCACTTGGAAGCAGGATTTGTGCAGTTGGAGTTGGGAAGGGTTTGAATGAGTGTTTTCAACAGGAAAACTTAGGAACTGATAACAATTCTCTGCTTGAAAACCTGAACTCCTTGCAGGGAGGTTGGACTGGATCCCATTCAAAGGTTCCTTGCAACCCAAACTATGATCATGGAATAGTGGCACAATTAGCATAAATTAGCATATAAATGATTCATGCTGCATTGCACTGGCTGCTTACTTTGAATTTTGGGGTAAGGTTGTAGTGATGACACACAGCAACTTTTGCCACTTGCAAAAAGAAACGCTGAATTTCACAGTTTAGAAAATGTAAATAAAAATGCTCAGTTTTTATTTGTCTCATGACTTCAGAAGCTGCAGGTTGAGAGCGGAAGCTCTGTCAGTCCCATCCCATTTCCCTGCTCTCTGGGAAGATGTTTTGTGATGTTTCAGGAGTGGGAGCAGCAAGGTTGGGTGACAGCAAATCCCTTTGGGCTGGAGCTCCTGTCCCTGTGTCAGGTATCCTCCAAACCTGCCCAGCCCTCTCAGCAGGTGTTGTTTGCCCTTGTGCTGACAAACCATTCTTGGCACCCTCCCACAGCTCCAGCCAGGCAGGAATTAACAATATTAATTAACTCTGAGCAGCGTGGGGCTGCTTTCAGCAGACTGAGGATGTTCAGGTTCAGGGCAAGGATTTGGAATCAGCTCAGTTTAACCTCTGGCTGTGTCCACGTGGGTTTAAACTGGCCTGAGGTGAATGTGGCACCCTCAGGTAGGGCAGGCTCAGGGAGGGATTTCATTTCATGATTAATTCTCAATGTCTGGCTCTTCTTCATTTCACACAGAGCCTTTTCTTATTGGGATACATGAGATTGGTAGAAATTCTTGTTTCAGTAATGAATAGAACTCTGAACAGACAATATTTTCATTTCTAAAACTTTCCTGAAACGTGGGTTTGTAAATAAATTGTAAGAAACCCATTTTTCCTGCCATCAATAAAACAAGGCAATGCTTCTTTCAGACAACTTTTACTTATTTAATAAATTACTTCAATAAATTTCCAAAGGATGGTAGTCTGTTTAGCCCAGCCTATTAAAAGCATTAAGATTTGAACACTGGCTGTTAAAATGAGTAAATGGCAATATCACAAAGTTAAACAAATGCCAAAAAACATTTTCCAGAGTACTGGGATTGTAACAATACCATTAATGAGGGCAAAGAGGTTTTAATGCAATTTGCACATTCTAAAGTTTCAAAAAGAGGTTTTGAGTTAGTGCATTATTAATGTTCTGAACATCTGGAACTATGTAAGAGCCACAGACATTGAGCAAGTGCAGGGTTTCCCCACTAGGTCTGATGCTGGCTGGTTTCCTCCCCAGCCAAAAGCTTGTTTTTAGAAGTTTGAGACAGTAAAATGACAATATCCAGATAAGAGAGAAACATTCCACAGCCTCTTTTTGCTTGTATTCTGTGCAGAGGAATAATTGGAAACCATTAGGTTCGTGCAGTTAAAAGGTGAACTTGAAATTAAATAGGAAAATAGTTCTTTGCACCACAGATGGGGCTCTGAGGAATTATCTAAATTCCATAAAAATGCTGAACTTTGTCTGTTGGATATTTCTGTTATATGCAGGGGTAAATGCTTCATCAGGAGTAATAATCTCCTTGATGCTCCTGTTGACAGCTGTAGGAAGGCTTTGAAGAAGAGATTTACTCCTGTGTGTAAATATTTGCTGGGTATAAGGATCTGTTTGTGTCATTTATGACAGAAATTTCTTCTTTCAAGTTACATCAGCATTAACTTTGTGCATAATTTTAGTGTTAGAGAATGTAACTGACGCAGTTACAGCTTAAAATGCTGCAGGAAACAAGAATGTTTCAAGGTGTCACCCAATTTTAGATGTTTTAGATGTTGCCCAGCACCCCTGGCATGGAAAGGAAGCTGCCTTTGAACAGGTTTGGCATTTCAGGAGTGAGTTACAAAATAAATGTAAATTAATAATGATGCTCACTTTCTGGCCAGCATTTGCTCTCTGCTCCCAAGGGAGAGGTTCTCTCTTGCTCCAGGAGCCTCATTTGTGTGAGCCAGGGAGCTGTGACACAGAGAGACCCCAAAGCTGGAGAGGCTTTAGGGACGGGCTCCTGGCACCCTCCTGCCTCAAACCTGAGCCTAAAACAGAGCAGGGTGAGGGAGGAGTCACTGAAC